ATGTGGGATCTTGAAGGCACCGCACAGCTGAAGTCTGCAGTGTTAATGATTTTTAGATTAAAAGAAAATTCTAAGCAGCTAATCTGTCTTGCAGTAGTTTCATGCCACTGAGTTTCAAGAGGCACCTGTTAAAACACCTTGACTCTCTTGCTAAGTGGGAATCTACCAAGTGCCTGGGAAGAGGGGACCAATGACCCATTGTACCACTTCTGCTAATTCCACTCCTCAATTAGAGCCCCTTTTGGCACACACACAAGGCACACTTTCCTTTGCATCCCTGCACCTGCATGCTCTGGTTTCTTCACTGAATACCTGTCTTTCCAGTGTCACGCAATTTCAGCTTGAGTTTGACAAGCTTTAATAAATTCGTCACAGATCATCTTAAAATGTACAATAATTGATCTTCAAGCTTCATAAATATTCACTAGGATCCAGAGATGAAATGTAGAAGGTTGTTACATAATTCCTGTGAAGATATCTGAAAGAGGACAGTACCAGAATGCCACCTGTATAATTGAGATTAACTAAGGCACAGAGCCTTTACTTAGGAAGAAGTTATTTAAAAGGACCACACAGCACTGGGGATTTTTTTATGAGTAAGATAAGCTTTTGTCTCCCTTCATGAGAAAAGAAGTAGTAATGAAATGTCTTTCTAATGAACAAAATATTTCCAGGACTTGTATTTTGCAAAGTGCTTCTGTCAAAAATTTTGAAATTTTACGTGTTTCTTTCAGTTACAAAGTAAAAGACAACAAATATAACCAGTCCTGTAGCCCACAACTTGTGGTTCCGTTATTATCTGATAAGAGCATGGTTTTTAAAGGACAGGATTAACAGTACATTTAATCAATCTTGGTAACACAGACAGTAGACAGCAAAATTGATTATTCTTCAGATAATAAAATGATGCATTTTTAAAGTATTGGTATTGTCATTACAGTCACAAGTATTTTCACCCTCCCTTCTCATTCTGCTGTAATTCTACGAAAATGTGCTGGCTCTGCAGAAACACAAGGGTCCATGTCAGGAAAGCCTTTTACAAGGCTAAGAACCAACTCACTACTTTTTTTTCTCTCAATCACTGGGTTGAAAAATTTCAGGTTTATCTGCCAAGAGTGACTATTTTAATATCTGCAGAATTAGACAGCCAGTGTCTAAGAATTCTTACAGAACGAGATGACAAGCTCTTGGAAGACTGATGCTGGTTTTCAGTAAATGCTGAGGCTAAAGAAGGCTGCAAAGAAAATACAGCATTAACATATTTTAAAACAAAAAAAAACCAGGGTGACACGGATAGGTTAGTTTGATATCAGTCTTGCACAAAATCATGGTATATAATCAACAGAAAAATAAAGGATAGTGGCAAAAAGCAATGCTAAACATAGGCTTACAGAAAATAGGTCTCGCTAAATAAATTTGGTATGGCTTTCTGACAAGAATATAGGTTGGACTGGATAAAAATACCTTGTAGTTTCTGACCTACTATACTTAGATCTCTGTAAGATTTAGGGCCACACAACAGTCTGATTTAGAAGTTATTCAACATGAAGAAAACCTGGAATCTAAAACCACCTCATAAATTATTAGCGAGGCTTAGGAAAAATATTTTAAATCCACCTCGTCAATAGTTAAAGCTGTTTTCTTAGCTCTTAAAAATCAGAGCTCATTATAGCCTGGAATACTATAAAAAGCTTCTTCCCCTTTAACTTTTTCTGCAGTTGGGAAAAAAAAATATATATGCACACCGTTAAAGAAAAAGGGAGGAGGTATAAAGTCACTTTAAACTTTGACTCTCATAGATTGTTTTTCAGGAAAGAAAAACTTCAGCTTTAACAGATTTCCTCAATAAAAAAAACAAACTGTGTACTTAAAAGCCATATTTTCAGGGAAAAAAAAAAAGCTAATGAAAAATCAGAGCCAGTTCTACACACGTGTAACATCTTGCAGTACTAAACTCACCTAGTTTATATTTCTTGCATCCAGAGTCACCTGGAAACATTACAGAGGATCATTTAACACTTTTGACAAGGACAGATGTGCAACAAATTATTATGTATAAGCTGCTTCAGGGTCTTACCATATGGCACACATAAAGGAATTCAAGGAAAGAGGGAAAACGACATCACATTTAACTTGGTTGAAAGCACACACAGGTACTTATTCCAAAAGAGCTGGCACAGAGTCAGGTGCTATACCCTGTGCAAGACATTTTTTCCTACTGCATGAATCTCCACTACTGATGCTTTAAGGAAGGTCCAGTGCTCCTCAGTGTTTCTGCTGGTCAGTTGAAGGATTATATAAAAGACTGTAGCTGACAGAATCTGCAGAGAATACTGGTGAAGGACAAATAAATAAGAGTAGGTCAACCCTGCTCCAGAGATCTACATCATACATCACACTGAATTAATGGCAAAAACATGACTGTATACAGCCCAGTGCAACACACCACACACATGAAACAAGAGTTGTTTAGTACTTACAAGATAAGGAATTCTACTTGGAAATGGAGCAAATCAAAAGAAATACTCCAAAGACATTGTGAATTCTCAAATGCGTAGAGAAACCCAGCAAGCTGGAACTGGCTTCCCGGGCAAAAACATTTCATGGATATTTAATATGGCAAAACACAGCAGGAAAGAGAACTATTGCATCAATACATAGCCTCGGTGAGATTCTTGATGATGTATTTACCAAGTTCTACTTCCCATTCAAAATGAGAAAAGTTAATGAACATCGATGATGCCTGAAAGCCCTGTCTCAAAAAGAAAAATAATGGCTTTGTTCTCAAAATTGTTCTTATGAGCCTAAGACCCAGAACAGAGAATTTCATAGAAGCTTGTAATCAGTAACACATGTGAAGACAAGAATGGCACAAAAGTCATTAAATACTATTAACTAATCACATGGACTGCTGTATTCTAAATTAATTACTCAAAGACTATCTATTTGTCATTGTGGAAAGTTTAATAAGACTATCTGACCAACAGTGGAATGATGAACAAAAAGTGAGAAAAGATTGTATTGGATTAAATGACAAAATATCACATAGAAGTTCTAAGATGATTAAATAAATAATTGTGGATTTTCACCTACAACATCCTTCAGTTCTGACCAACTTCTCTCTGTAGTAAAAACAGAGAAGGCTCAGAAAATGGAAAGAGTTCAGAGAGGGGCAAGAAAAATATTAAGTTTTGATAAAACTGGATGCTTCAAGATGCTTAAGACTTCCAAGAGGAAATCACTGGGTAAAGAGGAAGAGGCAGCAAGTGCATAAAATTTGCACAGAGAAGATCAGCAAGGTCTTCTTCTCAGCCTTAGTCAAAATACTAGGGCTGCATCATAGTGACCAAAGCCTTAGGAAAAACAGTTTTTAGTTCAAACCAACTATATTAAATGGCAACAAAATCAAAGTACATAAAAGTGAGCATTTTTAATAGTGCTTACATACCTAATGAATGCACAGCCCATTCTTTGGCCCAAACTTTGCATGACTGGGTAGAGAGTTGGGTTTTCACATGAAATTATATCACACATAAATCATATAAAAATTCATAAAAATTTCAAGAATAGAAATCACTTATCCAAGTTTGCTGTGTTGGAAACTATTCCTAAAAGTTCAAGCAGAGTTTTAATGACCACTCCTAGTAATGCTTTCCCAGTAGCACCTTTCAAAGAACCCGACCAGTTGCCTGTTGAAGACAAAGGACTGACTGAAACAATCTACAAATCCTTAAATAGCCGTTAAATGCCACTATCCAGAACAAAAAAGCACCTTAATCACGCATATCTCCAAACCCAGGAACTGAACAGATCACAAGACACATTAACTTTGTTCTTTTCTCACCCCGATTTCCCCCACGACCCTAAGACTGTCAATAAAAAGCGCTGAGCAAAACAAGACCATGAGCTACTTAACTCTCCAAACCAAAATGAAGAGGGAATACGAAGGTGTCAAGCTCATGATATATACAATACTAACATTACCAGCTTTAGCACTGCCCAAGTGCCCAAGTCTGTGGACAAAAGCCTGAAAACAACACATGGTAACACCTCAATATCTCTTTTCAAGCCATTTTTGCCAGCGCCACCTTAGTTTTGTCAGGACAGGAGGAAATAACTATTGTTCCTATCTACTGGTGACAGCCAAACTCGCCAGCACATCTATCAGAATAATATACGATTTTATGATTTTTAGCGCGCCCCACGCCCTGCTGCTTATCCTCCCAGCACTGAGTGGGGATGAGCCCAAGGGTGGCCCGGTGAGGCCAGCCCGGCTCCCTCACACCTGCACCATGGGCACATCCTCGCCAGGGAGCAAGCACCGAGGGGTCCGTACTCCTGCTCCCTCCAGCCACAGGACTAGACAAGCCACCACAGCGGGTTCCCACCACCCTATGTCATGGCACTGGGCACGCGTGGTGGGGACCATCCACCTGCTCCCTGTGCCATCACGACGGCGCTGAGCACCACCGTGGAACCGTTCCTCCGCACTCGTGGCATCACCCGCCACCAGCCGGCAGGCGGGGAACGGCACGCGAGCCAGGCGAGAAGCCCCGTGCAATGGAGGACGGGACCGGAGATGGCAACCCCCAGGGAGGACAACCCCAAGCAGGGAGCGTGGCGCACAGGGCGGGCCGGCCGGCCTCCCACCCGGCGGCCTCGATGGCGCGGCACCATGTGCGGGGCGCATGGCGGGGCGGCCGGGCGGGGGCGGGGGGCGGTTGCGGGTGGCGGGGGCGGGGAGGTGGAGCCTGGCTGCGGGACCGCCGTTTCCCTTCCCCCCGTCGGGCGCTCACCTGGCGGGGCCGCCCTCGCCAGGGGGGCCGGTTCCAAGGGGGGCCGCGGGCGCGGCTCGGCGCCGGCCCGCCCTCCCCGGGCGCGCGTCCGCGCCCGCCGGCTCAGGCCTCAGCATGCCGCCGCCTCCCCCTCCATGGCAGCCGCTCTCGCCGGCTGCATTGTGGGAATGCTGACCTCACTACGCTGCCTGCTGCGCGCCCGCCGGCTCCGGCACTCTCCGCCATGGGGGCCGTGACCGACGGTGAGACTCCCTCCCTCCGCTCTCTTGCTTCTCTCTCCATCCTACCTCCTTCCTCCGCCCGCGGCCGGGACCCCCGCCCGGGCTTCCCGCCCGCCCCCGGGGAGCAGCCGCCCGGGCGAGCCACCGGGCCGCTCACCCGCACACGGGCCTCCATGCCCGGCCCGCTCTGGATCCGCACACCGCCCGGGTTCAGCAGATCCGCCCAGCTCTGGGCCCCGGGAACATCGTTCCCTGAAGGGCCGGGAGAGCCCCGCGCGCGGCGCTGGGATGCGGCTGCCATGCCGTGAGAGGATCTAACAGGAGTTTTTCCGCAGATGAAGTTATCCGCAAGCGGCTGCTGATCGATGGCGACGGAGCTGGCGACGACAGGCGGATCAATTTGTTGGTGAAGAGTTTCATTAAGTGGTGTAATTCCGGATCTCAAGAGGAAGGGTATTTGTTTTCTGTTGGTTTGTTTTGGTTTTTTAAGTCTTGGAACTGCTTGGCTTCCATTGCAGCGGAAAACAGGGCTCGATCCATTTTGAAAAAACCCGTGTTGAAATGTGTACGTCTGCTTTTCCTATGGCTCTGTGGTGTTTCCAGGACAAACGCCGAGCACTGTGCTGGGAGATGAGGGCTAGAGACGGGTCAGAAATCACCGAAGGCTGCGGGCTGTATCATGAAATCTGTCAGCAGCGCTCGAATGCCCTCAGGATTCCCCTGCCGCGGCACGATCCGTCCGGGAGTCCCGCTATTATAACAGGATCATGACTCGAATATTTTAGTTGGCAGTCCTGCGTTTGTTCTGTAAGGGAGGAGTAATACTGCTGGTATTTCTGCTGCTGTGGTTCTCTTTTTTTTTAAAAAAAAAAAACACCAAAACCCAAACAAGTCAAAGTAGTAAGGGATGAGTGACAACATGCTGTGGGGTCCCTATTAGTACTGGATTTAAATTCCCAGAGGACACAATATTACGCTTGTGTGTACAGAGAAGCACTGCAATATTAAAATACTAATTTCGGCGGTCACAGGGCCAACCCTAGCTGGGAAATTTATAAGCCCCAGATCAAACTGCTCATTACTTTAATACTCACTTTACACCGATAAGGACGTGATGGTGGAATTAATGGGTACAATGTTTCTAGCTGCACTTTCAAGAAATTATACATTGAATCTTTAAGGTATTTATTGAATAATTGTTATTTAGCTGTTACTTATGCTACATGAAGTTTTGTACTTTTACACTCTTGGGAATAAATATGTTGTCTTTTTTCAGTTATAGCCAGTACCAACGAATGCTGAGTACTTTATCACAGTGTGAATTTTCGATGGGAAAAACTCTTCTGGTGTATGACATGAACCTGAGAGAAATGGAAAATTATGAAAAAATCTATAAGGATATAGGTAAATATGAGAAAATTTTACTGGTTTCTGTTTGACAGTTTCTCTTTTATGAATGAGCTTCAGCCAGTTCTGCTAAACAAAATATATATATCCAATGAGTGATTTGGAGGTTTTTTTGCGTTTATTTTTTTTTTTACTAGATAGCACTCATACATGTGCTGTGAGCATCTTATCAGTATATAAAATGCATACAAAACAAGAGCTTTTTTGACCTATTATAATGAATGTAGTTTTGAAGCTGATGGAGTTAACAGGCCACTGTGTCACAAACAGCTCTTTATCTTTTATAATTTAGCAGAATAGCTTATTTACATGTATTTTTGGGTTCAATATAACTGTGTATCCTTTTTTTTTAAAGAAAATAGTATAGCTGCAGCCCATGAGAAGATTTCTGAATGCAAAAAACAAATCCTGCAAGCAAAAAGGATTCGAAAAAATCGCCAGGGTAAGGAGCAATGTCTGTATTTAGGCTGGTGGGCTTCATTATTTTGTTATCTTTTTAAATGCATTGTGTTGGAAAATAGATTCAAAATTTTTGAAAGTGGGAGGGATGTGGATACTGTATTTAAGCTGATGGGTTCCACACCCTCTGCTGATAGGTTTTGGTGGATGAGGTAGTCAAGGTTGAACCAGGCGATCTCAATGACATGCAACATCAGGAAAACCTGAAAGAAATGTTCAGAGAGATGTTTTCAGGCCTAAGAGAAATCCCAGAAGCATGTGTTAGTTGCCTAAATAACCACAATATCGTTCTTAAGTGTAATAATTTTTTTTAAAACATATACATTTTTATATATGTATATTTGTAGGTACTTTTTTATAATTGTAAGGTGTTATGTATATATTTGAGAAATGTTAAAACAGTTTTTCAAGAAGGAGAAAGAGCCTGCCATTCTATGGTACCTGAGTTTTGATTCTTGAATCAATATTTTCAGAATTATTTCGATCAACTATTTAAATGTCTTTCAGAATATGATGCGTTGGCCAAAGTCATACAGCATCATCCAGACAGACATGAAACATTGAAGTAAGTATAAAACTACATTAAATTACAATAAGCCAGTAAGTTAAAAGTCACCAGATTTGATATTACCTTGGTTTCAGTTTGACCTTTCCTCGCTTTTATATCATTTCTTCTGACACAAGAAAAACTCGTGTCTCTGTGCCCTTATCAGCTTTTTTAATTAACGTCTATCTCTCCCTGTCACAAGCATTGCTAATAGTTTTGTAGTTGAGAGTTTTCCACTGTTAAGGTGAATAAGTGAACTTGGATGTAAATGCACATCTGTTGTCAGTTTACCAGGGATGAGCTTCTCAGAAAAGAGAGATAGTGGGAAGTGCTGCAACACCAGCGAGGAATTCAGTGGTCACTCAAAATGCATAACACACAAGCAAGTAAGGTGGAATGAGAGAATGCAGGAGAAAGCTCTTAGAGTTTTTTTTTAATGTTTTCCTTGTAGTAGTTGTTCCTGCATGCCTGGTTATAAATTGCTGTGTTGTACCTCAACATAACCTGCCCTGGCATGTGGGTTGGACCTACCTGTTGTCCAACTCGTCTTGCACGTAACTTACAGTGCAGCTTGTCACATTCTGAATTTGCATTCTATCTGTGCTTCTGGGGCAATTGTAGGGAGGTCATCTTTGTAATTTGATTATCAAGCCACAGAAACATTCCAGGACTTACTGCATCTATGAGTTTGCTCTTTCTTCAGTTCATTAAAGGTGTAGAGTGGGGTTACTGTTCCCATTTAAGTGCAGCTTGTGCTTGTCCTGTTGCCCACTTTCAGTGAAATTGCCAAGAGAGGCTGTCTTTTCACTTTCTGTGGCCTTTCATAGCAAAAGGAAGAGTTTTGATTATACCATTACCGTAATAATAGCATTTTTATAGCTATAAGACATTGACAATATTTCACACATTTCTTTCCTGTGCCTTGATTTCATTACCACAACTTCAGTTATTACGGGCAGTTCTCATGAGGCTTGACTACTTCTTACTTCATTAGTCATTATGTGACTAATTTATCAAGTGAGGCCTTAATAAAGAACTATCAAAAGTGAAGTTTTTCCAGTAAGTCAATTAAGAATGGAAACAAATAAATGAGGACTAAAGCAGAGAAGTTGTGGATTCCCCGTCCCTGGGAGTGTTCACGGCCAGGTTGGATGGGGCTCTGAGCAACCTGGTCTAGTGAAGTGTCCCTGCCCACAGCAGGGGCATTGGAATGAGATGATCTTTAAAGTCCCTTCCAACACACACCATTCTACAATTCTATGATAAATGATACTTTTTTATCTTGGAGGACACCAGCTTGTTTAGGTTTGGAGGGGCTGCTCTAATTTTGCTTAACACATCCAAGCTTAAGTTTCTTAAGCAAAGCTTGAAATGGTGGTAAGTTACAGCTAGTAAGAATGCAGTACGTAGGGAAGTATACAGAAAATCATACAATGAACCAAAGGCCACCCTTAAATCAGAATAGAGGAAGCCTCATGAACAATGTCACACTTTTCATGGAACTCTCTATCACTAAAAACACTTGAGGAAACTTCTTGTGAGGAGAAGCATCATGGTTTATGTCAAGAGCTACATTTATAGCTCCTGCAGGTTATATGGCACAATAGGGCAAAGTTGAGAAAAATACTTCCTTTATGCTTTTAAGGGACTGTTTCTTGGAACAGCTAGTCATACACTACAAAAGGAGCTGTCTGGAGCTTAGTCACAAATAATGCACAGGAGCCAATTCAGGAAGTGACAGGAGCTGAACTACTAAATGACAGTGCCCACAGTGTAATTATATGCAGTATTAGAAGGGCTGTTCAGAAGGCCCAGAAATAACACTGAGTCTTAGAAAAGGAGGAGGCTAGGCAAAAATTCTCTGGAGCAGAAAATAAAAGGAGTAAGATTCCAGATGTAGCTTGGATGTTACTAGAAAAAAAATTGCATGTCCTTTCGCAGTCTGCTCACACCTGACAGCACGGTGTAAACAGAGAGATTTGGCCAAATGGAAATCTTGCAGAAACTAGAAACTAAATACTGACAAAATCACGGTATGAGACTATGAGCTGTTAGCCTGTTTCCATTAAAGAAAGGGATGATGTCAACCCAACCCTCTCTCAGGCATTCCCTTTGAGGTACAAAGCATACTGGCTCAAAAAAAGACAACACCCTCAGGTAGCACTAAAACAGACCTTTTTCCCATTCACAGTGAGGTACTTAGGACTGGAGGCATTTTTGTGGTTCCCTACCCAGGCTTAGTGGTAGCAGCTGTCAGTGCTTCAGAAAAAAAAGTTTGATTTCCTTGCTGACCCCTCTATGGCTCTGTCTGCTGATAAATCAGGGATGATCAGCCTTAGAGTTTCTTTCACCTTTAAAGCAACAGTTTGTTCACATTGCATGGAGCATAAATTATGGTAGACATCAGAGGAAAAGTAGAAGGAGGTTTGCATGTAAGAGTTGGTGCTCCATCCTCATTTGAAAGGTGCTGTACACTGGGGTGGGTACCTGATAGTCTTTGGCTTGCCTCGAAAATTATTGTGGTGGTCCATGGTGAGTTCAAGTGAGAACAGAAAGGTTTTCACCCAGAGGGCGTTGGAACAGGCTCCTCAGGGCACTCAAGGAGTGTTTGAACAGCACTCAGGCACATGGTGGGATTGTTGTGGCTGTCCTGTGCAAGGCCAGGAGTTGGACTTGATGATCCTTGTGGGTCCCTTCCAACTCAGGATATTCTATGATTCTATCAATCTGCTTCTTTAACTTCCATTGTATGGTCAAGTAAATAATATGTTATAGAAGGACTGGATTGTTACAGTCCATATGCCCAGTGTACAACTGTATTCCAGCTTGGAGACCTGGTTTTTTTGTAAGAATCCTGAAATTACAAGTTTAGAACATAATAATTTAACATTTACGTGAAGTGGCCTTACCTCTGTATTGTTTCACTTGTTATGTTTTGTTTATATATGCTATTTATTTAATTGTTCTTTTTCCTCTACTTAGTTCAAATCTGTTCTGCAAGAATTTTACAGAACTTTGGCAATTTTACAGAACTGTGGCAATTTCTTTTCAGGCAGCTGGAAGCTTTGGGAAAAGAACTGCAAAATCTTTCTCACATTAAAGAAAATGTTGAAGATAAGGTAGGTCTTTCATAGAGATTGTTATATAATAATTTATTAGGAACACAGTGGGGAATCTGCTATTGGTTGTTTGGCTCTCTGTTTCCTACAATACATATTTTATCATTCCAGTTGGAGCTGAGAAGAAAACAGTTCCATGTTCTCCTGAGCACTATCCATGAACTTCAGCAAACCCTGGAGAGTAAGTGTTGTTCTTAGGTAATAGATATAACTGGGTTGGGTTTCAGTGGATCAAAAGGATTCACAGCTTCCAGCAGTGGGATAGCTCTGTGCAATTGAGGTTGGTGACCTCTTGCATCGGCAGCATTTTTTTCCCCAGTAGTAGTCCAGAGCCTTTTCTTCTACAAGCTACCCACTGTGTCATTTCCTGACTAGCTTCAGGTTAATCTGTAGGCAGCAGAATTCTTTAAAATGTGGGGGTGGAGAATAGCAATTTCAGAGGTTAGTTTTTTGTTTGTTTGTTTGTTTTTAAACAGAGAAAGTATTTCTTACAGAAAATTATTCTTGCGCTTATTTCCAAACATATTTGTGTAATTCCTATTTTGATAGTTTTGGAAATATCACTGCCATCATGGTATCATTTGAGGCTTTACTAAAAAGAAATTGAAATACAGGAACGGTAAATGACTGACCTACTCAGACAGTGAGTTTGTGATAGAGGAGGGACTAAAGCTGTCATACACAAGAGCCTAATTCAGGAATTAGTCATTTTTGTCATACAAAGAATTAATGTTTTCAACACCACTAACTTTTCGTGCTCTAATGTGGAAATATTGTTTTTAAATATTATTTGCTGGATATTTACCGTGTCTTTTGAAGACACAACAATTGGTACAGCCTTTGAGCATGACCTGATTAAATGCATAGATGGCTGTAAGAGCAGACTTTCATTCTCTAAGGCCATTTAGATCTTCTTAAGCAGAATGAACTGTTAATCCTAGGTGAACTTTAGCAGAAGGTTATTGTTATTATATGTTACTAACAGTTGCTTAAGTATTAGTCTTTAGAATGCATTTTCATATGAATATATAGATTACCTTTCAGCTTTCAGGATTTTATGAAGGAAAGTAGCCCTTTAGTGTAAGGCACAGCTTCAGTTTGAAATAAATAAACCATTAGTAGGCAAAGAGAAGGCATGTGATTTGAAGCATTCTCGTATTGTTTGTTTGAATTGATGCTGTAAAATTTACCCCATATTTCCAATAACAGCAATAACATCCTTAAAAACTTTGAAGGATTTTTTGTTTGTTTGTTTGAACATAGCACTTTATATAATGAGACAGTCAGCTACACATTCAAGGCAATCAAAATATTTTAAGTGGGACACAGCTCTGCAATATAGTCTGTAAATATGACCAAGCATGTTTGACTAACAGTAATATTGAATTTTAGATGATGAAAAACTTTCAGAAGCTGAAGAATCCCAAGAAACTCAGATGGAAGCAGAGGCCAAGCAGTAGATGTAATATGAAGACTGACAATACTACTGAAGAAAGTCCAAGTATCTTCATGTTCTATTGAAAGCAACAGTAAGGGAGGTGGAGCTGAAAATAGTTTTCTAGTGCTTCTGTGAATTTTTATACAAAAATACTTGTTATGCTTATGCTTCAGGGGAAAACAGTTGCAGATCTGTGCAGACAGGGACTTTATGTTAATTCACAAACTTTGTAATTTGTGAAATTGTGGTTTATAAAAGATGAAGCTTCTACACAGTGCTTGTGAACTAAGGTGTTTGCTAAACATTGTCAATAAAAGGTGTTTTCACAGATTTTCCTATTTTTAGTAGGCATTGAGCTTTTCTTACTAGACATCAGACTGAAGGCAGTGCATCTCTGCATGAGTTACAACTTCCATAGCTTAGTCTAGATGGGACCTAAATCTGAACTAAGCAGGGTCTTATTTTTTCAAAGTAGCTGTCATTTTAGAACTTACTAGTTTCATATGAAACAAATTACTTCTATAGAATTAATGCTTGTTAAGGGTTATAAAACAACAAAAATAATCCCGTACTAGCTTTAATTTTTTCCTCAAAGTGATGCAAAGATCTGCAGTGATCCAAGCCTTGCTCTGCTTTGTTTGTTGTGCCACCTCAAAAGTCACATTTTGAAATGGCACTTTTAAAACTGTGATTTAAAAGCTTTGTTCTTGAAGAACCAGGAATCTAATCCTGATACCATTTATAATCTGCTTCTGGATTTTACTTGTCAATTGACTATTATGAAATACATCATAATTTCTGAAACAGATGGTGGAACCCTTCCTGCCTCACAAAAAAAAACCCTGAAGCAGCAGAGCAGTAACCATGATGTTAAAGAATCAGAGATATTTGTGTTATTAATAGGGAAGGTGGAATTTATCCACCTGGATCATCCTGCAGTCTGTTGGGAGGTTTCAACCTTCCCAAAAAGAGAAGAGAATGGAGTATGCTCTATGCTTTTGTAAGGCGAGGAGGAAGGAAGGGGCAGTAGGTGATGTCACTGCCTGTTAGCCTTGTTCTAAAAACATTGAGCCTTCCAGTGGTTTGCGTAAAGGAAAACATTTTGGATCTCACTCAGACAGAGCCATAAGCATATATGGTTCAAGTAAAATAATGATGTTCTACAGAACAGAGCTGCCTTCTTACTCGGTGACAGCTGAGGGGGATTTCCAGGATTGAGATTCGAGACTTATAGTCCAAATGCCATATCATTCCCACTCTCAGTGGCTGTGGATCTATGTGCATTGGGCTGAACAGACATATCTGAGCTTGTTTTGCTCACATTCCAGGTTTGCTAACAGCAAGCCAGCTGAACAAGAAGTCACACAACTTCAGTAGCGCATTGCAGCCCTGAACTAATAAGCTGTCAAAAGTCTTCTAGTTCACAGCTGGTCAACTCAGAACACAGGGGAAGCTCAGGTTTGCCTGATAGAGCCTGTGCAGACATGCAGTGCTTCTCATGCACTACAGATTTGGCAGGTTGGGGTGGTGGTTAAGCAAACAAAAAGGATTTAATATGAAAAAATACAGCGTCAAAAAGTATTTAGTGTACTGTGTTTTTCCCCTCCTAACAACAGTGAATAGTAAATATTTTGTAAAGCAGCAATACTAAATTATTGCCAAATCAGGGAGTAGTCACTGTCATGAACATATGAATTATGAAGATCATAAATTACAAAGGCTCAAGACAGTTTTAAAGCATATTAACATTTTTTTGTGTTTGAAATGCCCTTCATAAGCTACCTGGACTGAATTTTGGTGCAGAGGTGGATGACATTTAACACCTAAAAACAGTCTCCATAGCAGTGTCATCATGAAAATCTGAACATTTTCCATTAATTGTTTTACACATTTCTTTGGAAATTAATTGCATCACTTAAGTATCTTATCTCAGAACTTGCACTGCTCTGGATAAAACCTGACCATAAATGTGCCAACATCCAAGCCTGTCCCTCTGGTAAGGAATACATAAGCAAAACCAAAAGTTGCACACAAGAGAAGCAAGACAAATGCATAGCAGAGGAATACATTCTAGTTTGAATTACAGTGATGCAATCTTGAAAAGAAATTGCTGCCCTAGAAATTCAAGTTGCCCTAGTGCCATGTGGCAGCAAGAGGGTGATGTCACGAGGCCACCTTGGAGAGCAATCAAAATAAAAAGCAACATCAATTCATTGCAAATGTGAGCTCAGTGGGACATCCAAAATATTTGCTCCTAATATTTTCAGTATTTATGTATCTAACCTCTTGAGCATTAGATTTGTACCAAAAAAAGAAACAAAACCAAATGGAATTCTAATTATCAACAATATTTAACCTGCTTTGTTACTAAACCTCAGGTTCCAGCTTCAAATCTGCCCTGCATAAGTTGGAAATGTGTATCTGCATTTCCTTTAATCTTCTGTTCCAGAAGTTTTCTCTGATGCTACCTGCATTGACTTTAAATATGCATGTATAAAAATCTAGGTACATGAACTCAGAATGTTCACAATGACACTATTTAAATAAGAAATCATTCCTGGTTTTATGATTTGCCTTGTCCCTATCTGAGCTGAAGGATTATTATATGACTAAATGCTCCATCTCTTGCTATGTGGGTGCAGAAATAAAAGCAGAAAGAGAGTTGCTGAAGTGATAAACTGACATTTGCAATGCCAGGACTTATTTTTCTGTCCTGTCTAAATGAGAGCAGAAGAGGGAGAATGGAACATTGGACAGAATTGGTAACTTGGGTGTAATTTTTAAAGCTAGATTTAGCAAGCTCCACGAAAGGAGGGAAGAAGGAGGAGAAAAAAGGTCCCAGTGACACATTGCCAAGTGATGGGATATCTCTGAAACCACGTTAATTTGAAGAAAGCTGCTGTCAGGACAGAAAATTGCAAAAAATAGATCCCAAAGATTTATGAGCTAGAAATTATGAATTATTTTAGATACTTGTCATGTAAGTTTTCCAGCTGTCACAGCTGCCTTGTACCATGCTTTCCCTCACTCCTTTACTCAAGTCTCAGGTGGGTCTCCTTTTTTTGTGAGTTTAAAAAAGAAAAGACGTGCAGCGTGTGGTCTGTCCAAGATAGCAGAGTCCAGAAGGGAAGGATGAGGTGCCTTAGACCCCTATGCCAGGTGAAGTGATGGGGGACTTGTTTCATGGAAGAAGGAACTAAAGGCCTGTCCTGGCCAGAGCCAGAGCACTGGTTGTGTTGTCAGCTGCTGGTGTTGCTGTCTGAATGGCAGGAGCTGGTGTTATTTGAGGGATCCACGAGGACGGAACTTGGGAACAAACTCATTTTTCTACATTTGCTACGTCTGTATTTGAGTAGCTTTTGTGGGGGGCCACACGTTTGGATGCCACAAACCACAGCAGCTCCTGGGAGCTGCCAGACACCACCCATGGGATCATCTAAGTGGGCTTATCAACAGCCCGAAAACTGGTCCCCACCGTGGTCCATCATGGATTCGTACCGGAGCGCGCAGAGCAGGGTGAGCTGGGGAGTACTCGTTTAACACCCCACAGGCACAAAACTAATCCCAAATGCCCTAATGGTGCGAAACCGCCCGGAGAAACCCCGGCTCCCGTTGTTTCTCTCGCCTCCCTCTCGGCCCAGGCTCCCGCGCACGGATCCCGCTCCCGATGGAGCCGCGAGGGGGCGGCAGAGGCCGGGCTGCCCGGGAATCGCGGATCCCACCGTGCGCGTTCCCAGCGCTTCCCGGCCTCGCCAGCCCTTTCCAGAGCTCTTCTTTTTCTTTTAGTTCCCGTTTCCCACGCACGGACAGTCCCGCCAGTGTCCGGAGGAGTTAAATCCCCGAAGAATCATAGAATATCCAGAGCTGGAGGGACCCACAAGGTTCATGGAGTCCAGTTCCTGGCCCTGCATAGCACGGCCCCAAGAGGGTTTTGCTCACCCCTGCACTTCGTTTTCAGTGTCTTGCCTGAACTACGCTGATTCTCAAGGCCTCTCCTAAACTGCCCCAAACCACGTAAAACACTGCCAAGGAGCAGAAGGTGCAATGCTGAAACCTTCGCTCTTTGCGATGCCCCATCTTGTGACACAAGCGTATCCAATACTTCATTTTCCTACTGATGATAAGATACCAAACCCTTCACACTGCCTCTTCCATGCAAGGGCTGGAAGAGCAGAGCCTGGCAGTGCTTGCAATAGGGACCAAGCACCCTCTGGTACACTAAACTGCTGCCTCCAACACACCCAACTCCGCCAGCCCGAAGCCAAGACAAGAGATGTTTCAGAATCATTCAATATTGGGATGCTCAGAATTTGCAGCATCACAGTGAGAGAGTTGGCAAAAGTTTGCTAAAAGTGTTATACTGCGTGAGAATTCCTAAAATAGTCAACAGCCCAGATACATGCTTTTAAATGGCTCTCACAATAAAGGAAAAATAAAAGGAAAACTAACAACCTCTGTTATGCTTTGCCAGTTTGCTTGCAAGGAAAAAGTCACCACCTAGAGAATTTAAAGTTATGGTTTATCTCCAAGAAGAGAAAGATTGGGCTCTTCTCGACACAAAGCAGAAGTGCATGCTGGAAATAACAGCATGTGCTGAATGTAACAAATAAGCCCCACTAGCAGCTCATTTGTAATACAAAACAACATATAATTTATGATCTGGCAGGGCAAGTTGACCGTAGCCACCTTCCCAACGACTCTTCAATAAAGCATTACTACACTTAAATCTCCTAATATGAACCTAAGTGAGATTCACCTTTACATTGAACTTGCTGCACCAAAAACTACGTATTTTCTCTAAAGCATTGTATTGTTGCTAAAAAAATCCCAAACCACAATAAGCTTCAAAGCTGAAAGCAAAAGCCCCTGGTTGATTACCAAGCATAAGAAACAAGTTTAGACACAACACATGGAAACAACCATCACTGTCCAGTGCAGCTTCTCCCAGTTGCATTCAGGAAACTTTTACAGCCTACTGGAAATTCACAGGTGATGTTTTAACTTATTTAACAGGAAACATGAAAAAAAAAAACCGTCTTGGTTTCTTTCTTAGTGCCTGTTAACCTCAGTATCTTCTGAGTCATTCTGCATGAATTTGCAGAAGACGTTCAGATCAATTCTCTTTTGCTTTGTTATTCTGACTGCTGGAAATGGGAAGGGCCGTGGAGCACTGGGTCCACCACTCCTGCCATCCATGTCATTAGTGGCCCCAGCAGCCAGCAAGGTGCAAAACTAGAAGTGGGAGCATTTCCTGTAGTGGGAGAATTTACTACCTGCCTACACATCCATGAATGCTCCAGTGCCAGGAGACAGGTTATGCTGGGGTGGCTGATATG